ATAAGACAGACAAAACTACTTTAAAAAAAAAATTTCTATATCAATTCCTCATTAAGTAATTTGACCTCTTTTGTCAAAAACTGCATTATTGTATTTCGTCTTGACAAGCTCCAAATGCCTCCTCTGATGTATTGCTGCACAGAACCCTTATTCTGCCTCTCCACTTATAAAAATGTGTCCCCTGGCCTGATGACACGTTTAAGTTTCTGTATGCATCCAAGGGCCTGGGTGAGCCTGTCTGTGAGAAAACAGAGAGCCCTTGACACTCTGTCTTGACAAAGTTGGGTAATTAACGACAGCGCCTATTAAAGGGAGAATATTCAGCCAGTGATAAATGGCTTTAATAACAGGACTGTGTTCTTGCTAACAGAGACAGATCCTGCCGCCACCGTCAGCCTGCCCACTAGATAAAACTACCCAGACTCCCATCTCAACATCCTCTTCATCTTGCCTTTTCCCATCGGCAGTCTTGCTTCTCTCCGTTCCTTCTTTTTTTCTCTAACTTTTGGAGAGAAAAAAAAGAAAAAAATCACAATGCCTTTGTCTTTCTTGCAGACTGCTCTGTATTCCCTAACTTTTGTTCATTTCAGGGAGGAGCCTCATCAAATGTGTTAACATATTCAAACTGGGAAATTTCCTCGTAGAACAAACAAGTCCCAACCTTTTCAGCCTACCTGCATGCATAGCGTTTGTGCATGTTTGTCTTGTAAAACATCGTTAGCCTTTTTGTGTAAGGGCCATGCAAATTGGACAGTTAAAAAGTGCTCTGACCGATTTATGGTCCAGTGCAGCGCTTTAACAGGCCGGCGCTACTGCTTTATGTGCCCTGGTGGGGTTTAGGGCAGGGCCTGACCACAGGGGTCATATTCATCACAGCCTCGTATTGTGAGACGAGTCCAGATGTCGGTCCTCATTAGAAGAGTACTGAGAAATTTAGAAGGCAGAAATGGGGATGAGCTAAACAGCCTATTGTCCAAACACAGACATAATGACTTTATAGTGTTTCAGAAGAAATGATTAGTATGTGCAAAAGAAAACATCTGTATTTTTATCTAAGATTATATATTGATTAACACATAATTACAACATTGTCAGGGTTTATGCCACTTATTACCTTCTTTTGTTTGGCCAACCATTGAATTCTGAGTTTTATTTTTATATATGAAAAGGAATAATTCAGAATTTAGATGTTTTGAAAATTTGTTTTGTGTTATTCTGCCACATTAAAGGATCTCACAACACCCACAAGACTTAAAGGGATATTGTGTAAGAATCGCTGTCATCTAGCGGGGAAAATGGGCGTGTTTCACTCAAACTAACGCTAAACCCTTTCACTTCACTGCCTCAAACGCATATTGCAGCTACTGTAGCCGTTGTGTGTTAAAAAGCCCCGACAACAGAGATGTAACCATGTAATCCAAAGTGAAGTGAAGTGTCTACAAGCCAGCATATACTTTGACAAGACGCAGGCGTTCACCGTGGCTTTGAAAACTAGAAAAGCGTATTGGTATATGTTTGTGTGATCTACTGTTATTCTTGCTAAGGTAATGATTAGCACTGTGGGCTGCTCAGTGGAGCAGTGGGACCCTGCTGCCTTGCAGCAAGAAGGTTCTGGGTATGATTCCCAGCCCGGGGTCTTTCTGCATGGAGTTTTCATGTTCTCCCTGAGCATGCATGGGTTCTCTCCGGGTACTCCGGCTTCCTCCCACAGTCCAAAAACAGCCCACATCTCCAAATGACTGTTAGGTTCTCTAAATTGTCCTTAGGTGTGAGTGTGTGTGTGAATGGTTGTTTGTCCTGTGTGTCTCTGTGTTGCCCTGCAATGGACTGGTGACCTGTCCAGGGTGTACCCCGCCTCTTGCCCATTGACTGCTGGAGATAGGCACCAGCACCCCTCGCGGCCCCACTCGAGACAAGTGTGTAAGAAAATGGATGGATGGATTAGCACTGTCTAATTAAACCAAAAAGAATAATTTAGCTTTACGTTAATTTAGGCAGTACAGTTCATATATTTGCTGAGAAGAAGCATCTGAACTTCAGCGTCCCTTTTCAAAATCTTTCTCTTTCATTCGCTTCTTCCACCAAGAGAAAGCTTGCCTGATGATGATCTTCTACTTTTGATGTCTCTGTTTTTTTTTTTCTTTTAACTTTCTTGGGAATGGTGAAACCATTTCTTGAGCTGCTGCTCCATATGCATGGTCCTGCACTGTGCTGCAGTAAAGCAGACTTTAAGTTGACGGGTTAGCGTCTCCAAATGATCTTCATTTCCATCGTCAATCACACTGTACTGCCAGCAAGGGGAAACACGTTGTTGTTCCGTTGTTATTATGATCTTATCCTTCCATATGTACTTTCAAGATGGCAGAATGCATGGCGCTTGGCAAACAGGGGACCACCCTTATGTATAAACTAATGTAAAATACTTCTGTTATAAAAAATTATCTGATTATTAGAAGTATTAATACACCATTAATAACACATAGGTAAATGTAGTCTTCAATTCCAGGCAGTAAAAAAGAGAAATTGTTTCACAATGTCCCTTTAAATTTGGTTTCAAAAACTATTACGTAATACAACAACGTCAACACATAAGATATGACAGCTATGCAGTCTGTGTTTTGCTGTGTGCCAGTTATCTTAATATACCCAACTTGTTGTTATGTATGTGGTCTGTATAAAACTATACAAAGTCTTTATGGAAATAGACGAAGCCGGTTTGATTCAGATTCAGGTCCTCTTCAGAATACATGAGCAAAGTCTCAGTTTGCGGGTCTTTGGGGTCTTCTCCCAGCAGAGGTTGTAGGGGTTTGCACTCTCTTGCAAGACCAAAAGCCATGACTTCATTAAATTGACATGAGTATTCTAATTAAAGACCCCCGCTGAGCAGCTGACTTGGAGGTAGCGTTCATTGCTAAGACCCTGACAACCAGAGAACACCCTCTGCAAATGAATAGAGAATGACCAAATAGTCGCTCTGTGACTGGCTTGGACTTCTGCTTCCTTAAAGGCAAGAATATTTAGATCTGATTGCTCTCATTAAATGTGTTATAGTGGTATAATTATAATGGTTTGCCTACAAAATGTGATGACTTAGTGTGTGGTTACTTTGCTCAATGACAAATTAGGATTGCAGGTTTAATATTCATAAAGTTGATTTGATCCTCTAATGGGTGTTTTAGTTTTGTGGTTGTTCTTTATGGCAAACAAAACTACACACCATAACCATTTTAGGTACGTATGGAAAGCTGAGCATCTGAAACATGATGAAAGCAGAAGGTCAGTTCATTCATTTATTCTAAATTCAAGAAGGAAAAGAGACATTACTGGATCTGGCGTTATAATTAGGTGGATATTAGCACTGAGTGAATTATTGGGCACTTGTTATTCAAGTTTGTCCTCTGCTGCTCGTCAGATGAGATATCCATGTGAAGATCATTCTCATTCTGGCAGCAACACATTGACTGATATTGTTTAAATTACACCTCCTTGGGCAAGGCGTTCCGAAATGCTTTGCAGATGGGAATTCGTCAAAAAAATGTCAAGGAGAAAATGAAGGGTATCAGGGCTTGATTGCTCTGGCAAAAAAAAGGATTATTTCCTACAAGAAAGTGAAAGATGTTGCTTGAAACAGTAATCACACAAGACAGACAGTAAAATACGAAACATCTTATTCAGGAAAAGATAACTCAGAGTGGGCTTATAGTGGGTGTTATCCCACTGGTGAACGGTAAATGATTCCTGATGATTAAATAAAAACTAAATTCTTTCAATTCTATCATGGTAAATATAATACTATGCAAAATGTCTTTTTACTCACTAAGAGTTGTTTTTTTTTTTTTTTTTTTTTCGGTGTGAGAACAGCCTTATTTGAAGTCAATTTATTGTCAATTGTGCTCAGGTTTGTAACTCATATTAGTTATATTTCTATTTATTTTAATATCTAAAATTTTAAAATTAAATTAAAAAAATTAATAAAAAGAGAATAAATGAGTGTGAATGATTGTGATGTTACATTTGCAGTGTAAGGCCAATGCACATAACTACGAGAAGGCAGTTTTATTACCAGGATCTTCCTGTACATGTATGTGAATTTGTCTTATGAAATACAAAAAGTCAAAAGAAACACTTTTAAAGAGTAGTAGCTTTGATACCTTATGCCCTTAAAAAATATTTAAATAATCTAAAACTGCTCTTTAACTCATTGCAGTGTTAAATAATCACACAACAAAAAAATTGTCATTTAAAACTTGCAGCATTTAGGCTGACTTAATCGCTGCTCATACTCTACCATTGTAATCTGTCGTGCTTTGGTTGCATCACCACTCCTTTGTCCAAGCGCTTCAGTTACCATTCTGCTCAGCTTTATTTCAGGAGTTTGTTCAGTGACTCTGAATGTATGATTTTAATCAGTTAGAAGGATAATCAGAAAAGCGATGGTGGAGGCCATGTGTGACATCCCTCATTCTCTACTATTTTATCTTCAGCTAATTTTCTCATGTGTCATTAATGTTGATGATTGAAGGAAATTTTAAATACCTGTAATCAGATGGCAGCTGCAGACATTTGCCTAAGACATGGAAAAAAATCTCCTCAGCTTGGTCATTACCCTAAATCCAATATACTAATACTTTTATATTCCTAGAGCAACACATTTTTTACAACAAAGCAACTGTTGTAGTTTGGCTTGGAGAAAGTGGATTTTCTGCTTCCTCTGTGCCAAAAAGTCGCCTCAATTATATTCACCATAATCCGGTTAAAAACAGCTCCACACAATTAGAGAAAAATTAAGTGTAAAATTTAACACCAAAATGAACATATCCAAAATTACCAAGAGAGATTGAGATTGCATGTTGTGTTTTGTTTTTCTGGTGATCAGTTTTTTTTTTTGAGTGTTCAATATTATCACATATATTTACCCTGTGTGGGATTTTTTCTTGTTATGTAAAGATACAACTTTGATTTTTCATTTAACTCACTTTTTTTCTTTTATTTCCAAACAGATTGTCCATAAATAACAGTAGTGCCTGCAAGTTGGATTGGGATTTGTCTTTGAGATGTCCTTATTCACCAATTCCCAGTAAGTTAACACTATCAGTGTCAATTTACCCATTTGTGTTCTGTTTTTCAAAGGCAACAACAAGCACTACACTGTTCTTCATTTTACAGTCACAACATGATACTGTTTGCTTTTTTTGTATTGTTGGGAAAAATAGCTAAAATTAATCAAGTCATTAAAATAATGGCTGTGAAAGTTACATATATATATGTAACTTGTATCTAGGAGGTTATTTCTTTATGCATGTTGAGGAAAGCAAAACTTCTGAATCTATTGGACTGTGTATTTAATATTTCTTTTAGCCTTTAAGAATACCTTTATCATAGAAGAAAACAATATTTATGTGTTTATGAAAAAGTCTCTGTTTTAATAGACAAGCTGTAGTCCGTTTGCCTTTTTTTTCCAGCATTGCCAAAAAGGAGTCAGACACCAGCTCCCCCTTATCAAATGAAATGGTCCATCTGTCCACACTATACAAAATCCATCCAATATTGGTATTTTATCTCATTCACTTCCAAAAAAACAAAAGAGATTCATGAAATTTTGTTTCAAGTCCTGCTGCTCTCAATCTTTGGTCTCACTTTTCCTTTGAAAGCTTTGGCCTTTAAACTTAGTGCTGTTATCACAAGAGCTTCACACCTTAAAAATCATGTCATTACTGTCATCTTGCTTGGCGCTCCCTCACAATGACTGACCGCTGCTGCAGATATTAAGTTGAAGTCCTCAATTCCAATAAAACAACACAATATAATGTCAGCGGCTCCATTCAACTTTATTCGTTTTAAAGCCAGTGGCTACATTTTCTTTATGGCCTACTTTCTTGGCCATAAAGCATCTTATAGTAAGATACTACAATCTAAACTGTGTTATATCTTATAAAGTTGCACAAGAATAAACTGGAATATAAAGCACATGTTCACTTTTCATGGCACACAATTCAATGTAAGTTCTTGTGTTGATAGTATTCTATAGGTTTTGTTTCCTTCCACAGATGGAAGCAACAGTGTTGTGGAAATTTCCATCTGTCTTTCATGCAATAAGCTCCTTGCGCTCACTTTTGAAATGCCTATTTGTACCTATGCCTCTACTGCCGAGCTATACCCCATAATCACCAACTACACCTCCACATATCTGGGTAGTAGACATAATTCTGCACCTTTTTTTCAGATGATATTTACAGGCATAATGTATCTTATATTTAACATTTTTTTAGGCATAGATTTTTTGGTTCGAACAATCTAGCTGTGGGACAGGCGGGTTTTTTTCTTTTGACTTTTGACAATATTTTTGTCTCTGTTCCTTTATAAACTATATCGCATTTAGTCCTCTCACAGTAGTTACTCATTAGCAAATATGTGCTTTCCCACTGACCCTAAAGAAGTCTGTCATTGTAAGAAAAACTGGATTTTAAAATACAATTCCTTTAAACATAACAAAATACTACAAATATGAGTTTTTTTCAATCTTAGCCGCGCATTAAACATTTCACATCAACTGGAACTTAGTTTTCGAAAGTGCCCAAAATGAATTACATTATGGATTATCAAGTAATTATGGATATTTCCAAAGACTGATAGGGCCGGAAAATTGAGTCCTGAATATTTCATAATGCACCGCACCATCTTTGTAGAGGAAATTATTTAGTGATAGCATGCTCATTTGCGGAATGGATAAAGGTTCATTGCGAGTCACCAGAGTGCTGTAATTGGAAAGCTGGTGTGATTCAAAGGAATTATTCAAAGATGAGCATGTCTGCTTAATAACTGTAAAATCAGTGCACCTTTAATACTCGGGCATATGCCCAAAAATATGCTGGAATGATGAGCATACCTATTGCATTGTTGCCATATACTAGTTCTCTTAATACTGCCACAGGTTTTCTAAATGTATCCTGTAAAACAAATGTGATTAATGAGCTCTTCATTTTTCTCTTTCTGCAGATGAGACCAGGGACATTTCCACCATCAGCCAAGCCTCTGAAAGCCATATGTATTTAAGTAAAAATCCAAACAGAAAAAAATTTCTTTGGAATAATCCGGTTATCTTTTTTTTTAAGGCCCATGATATGACCTGCTATCATATCTACTGCAAATCTCACAAATTTATGAATTACACACTTTCTTAAACGGTTTGACTGGAGTTAAAAAGAAGGATTTTTGTTGCATCTAGAAAACATGAACATGTGCCAGTTTTGAAAAATGTCCTCTGTAAAAGGCAAATCCAAATGTCAGAGAGACAGATACTTTACACACAGAGAGTGTTACCCTCTGGGCATCAAGCAGAAAAGCTTCAGAATAATATTTTTTTCCCAGTTGGAGTGAACTGCAATTACCCATCATCAGACATAAAAGCAGATCACTTGCACTCCTTCACCATGGAGATGAACTTGGTCACTGTTTTTAAAACAATACAAAGAAGGCTAAGAAAAAAAGCAGTACCTCATAACAATGAATTGTACTGAGTTCAGATATACCGAATAATGTCTCTATGATTATTTAGATTACATAGTCCACTGGAAACGTATTTATGCACTTTCTATAACACAATGTAAAAAGTTGTCATTTTTCTATCACTCCTATGGTGAAAATGTTCACAATCTTTGAATTGTACTGTGTACCTTTAATTTGCAACCATTTAAAGTTTTAAAAATTACAAATGGGACCTCTTTATTTGTTTGAAAAATTGTCATTTGTCAAACAATTGTAATTAGCGGCATAAATTGTAATTAGCGGCATAAATTGTAATTAGTGGCTTCTGTTGCTTTTGAAGATGAAACAAAACATAAATGATAAATTTAGGTTTTATTTTAATTTTTTTTTGTTTTTTAAACATATTTATATGTTTGCATATTTCTTCCTCAATGCCAACATAATATCCAGAAACTTTAGTATACTTTTGCATCCCGAAAACATGTATTTTTGGTTTATTGGCCATTCTAATTGCCCTCTAGAGGGGGATGCGTACATGCATTGTTTCCTGTAATGTTTGTCTTTGTGTTTTTTTATCCCTTGACAGATAAATATTACCTTCAGCACTATGTAATTAAGGACTAAGTGGGTATTTGGACGAAAGGAAAAAAGAATACTTCCAGCTTTTTAAATTTTTGCCTTATTTCTAACATTTTACAGTATATTAGAAAATATTCAAATGGCTCCCACACTATCTTCATTGTTCACTTTTATACTTTGACAGGTAACTAACCTTTTCTCTTTATATTACCAAAATATATGGTACATATAAATTTGCACACTTTTCCTAAGTAGTTCAGATCATTCTCATTGCCAATAAAAACGTGCAAAAATCTTCAATTTATTGCAAGCTTTTGTGTGTAGTTTTATAAGCTGGACTTTTGTAAGCTGCTGATCAGGGGGCAAATTAACTGCTAAAAGCAACACAAATGGAAAAAAAAAACCTGCTGCAAAACAATGAGTGATACATATTCCAAAACACATTGATAAACAAAAAAGGCATCAGACTGCACCTATTTTTCAGTGCAAAACCAAAGTGGTGAAAGAAAGAAAGAAACAAAGAAACAAAGAAAAATACATGTTTAAATAGCTGCAAACTTGCTCAACAAAACAGAAGTGTTCGAGACCACTATGGAGAGTCAAATATAAAGTCATGTGGGAACAGACATTAACCTGGTGCCCAGAAGTTGAAGGGAAGAAAGGAAAGAACACTCTTCTGTCCTGTCTCTTTAATGTCTTTGGCCAAATTATTTTACAGCATGATGGAATTGAAATCATTATCTTATCAGCGGAGAAATTCACTAATATATCTGCATTGCTTTCATCATGAGAATTGTAATACACCTATTGGAGCAAGCTGGACACATCTACAGCGACTCATAAAAAAGCCATATATTTTTCAGGACTTCTCTGCAATGAATTTGGTAAATCATATCATCAAATTTCAAAAGTTTAAATATCAACAGTCTAACATATAGCTATTCTATTTATTTTTGCAATAATGTCATATTCTATGGCAGTCTTTAATTTCAGTTCAATCTTCCCAAAACACTTGTACTGATCCCTAATGTTTGTCTTTCTAAAAGTAATGCAGTTGTTAAAATATGTTGGCTCTTTAAATAATTGGCTGTTTCAGTGAATTTGCACTAGACATGTTCATTTATTTTCTTAGCAAGAAGTAAACAAGCAATTCTGCTTAAAATCTATTAGATCAGGTTATGAATAAAAGATGAAATGCTATATTATTTTACTAAATCAAAACTTATTGAAGAAATTCCTCAACATAGGAATTTGCATTGGAGTGTTTCTATAAGTTTTATTTCATGTTTGGTGAGTTTTTGTACCCCGGTACCAGCAGGGGCTCACAGCTCTCACCAGGAAGACCACAGCAATGAAGCAATGCGGTGAGCCCTGTTTGGCTTTAAATTTTACAGGCCGGTAAATGTCAGTCTCATGAATTAACAAAATGAGAACAACGTCTTTGTTGATCCGCGGTTTATTTTCAAGTTTGTCTGCAGAAAATGACCTTCCAGAATGCCTTGTGGGAATGAGCCAAAGAGGGAGATTTACAATCTCATCAGTGCAGGTGAGTTATTTTTAAGAAAGCGGGACGTTTGGGAAGAAAAAATAGAGAGAGGAACTAAATGGCAAGCAATATAAATAAGGCTGAATTAAAGACAGGAATAAGAATAAAACTAAGGTGATGAAATTAAGATTTGAATTTTTACCTTTTTTTCCTGCTAAACTAGCCCATCTTCATCATAGTGTAGATCATGTCAGGTGCTGGCATGACCCTAAAAGTAAGAACTAATCTTAACTCGTCACCTCAAGGCCCCTTTCAACCCACAGGGCTTTAGGCATCCCGTCAGCCCAGCAGAAAACCACCGGGCACTTCTGTTAGCATGCAAATGAGACAAGAACAAATGTCCCATCACTTCTGGGGCCCCTTGTCCCAAAGTGTTTAACACTCCTTCTGTTAACCCCCCTCCCACCCTTGTGGCTTCAAAAACCCTTCCTTACCTCCTTCAGTCTTTTTTTCTTCCCTCTTATGTTCTTTAAATGAGCTCTCCAACTCCACTTCTTTCTCACAATTCAATTTTACAAGGCTATTATCCCGGGCGTAATGTGGAGGTTAAATATATCGGGGCAGACATTATGTGAAAATAATTAGTGCTAATGAATAATGCACTCATTCAGCTGATGAAGGATGGTTGTCAGGGTAATAGACTATGAGGGAGGGGCCTCTGTGACAAATGAAATTAAAATATTTAAGTACTGTTTTATGGTATTACAAGGCCCTCACACTTTTCTTTCTGTTACTCCCTGCTTGAAGCAGCCCTGACTCTGAGGTGTGGCATGGTAGTTGTCCCATTACTCATCTACAACATCTATCTCTTTCCAAAGACTCTAGAGCTATCAAAGAAATGCCCTGTCTTCACACTTTTACAGTACTTGACTCTGTGATGCCCCTGCTCTGATAATAACTCTGATGTCAGGCCATGCACAGATGCTATTGACAGCTAGTGCCTCTCTCTCCCCGAATATATTTTGTTCCTTTTATTTATAACCACTACACTCATTCAGCCTTTAACTACCTCATTCTGCAGCCATAATGTGACAATGAAGGATGTAGGTTCTAAATTGCGCAGTTTACAGCACCCTTCCAGCCAATTGGCCTTCCTCAAATCAATGATGGCAAACCGATCACACTGTGGCAGATAAATGGAACGCATCGACACCGTTTCATTAGGCATGATGGTTGGAGGAGGGCAAAGGAAGTGCCTTTGACAGGCGCAAAATAGCACATCAACCAAAGTACAGTGTTTGCTATTAAGAAAAATGGAACGCTTCACAAGATCTAATACGGATCAAAGGCCAAAAAGTCAATAAGCCTCAACTTATCATCAAGTATCCTGGCAACATATACATTTTTTTGTGATAGCAAATAACTTTGAGGTTCTGGAATGAATCTAACTAAAAGGAATTGGTGGTGATAAGAACACAAAATTTAAGCTTTTACCAGCTTTAATCTGCTACAGTTTGCTTTTAAACATATATGACAAAACATATATAAATAACCATGTGTACTTGTAGACTTAGACTAACTTTATTGTCATTTTGTATACACAGAGTGTATCCAATACGAAATTTTGTTTTGTACAACTCTCATGACATTTATATTTCCTAAAGCAGCAGTGATCAAATGTAAACATTGGGAGAAAAAAAACTTGGTGCTAATAAACGCATTAATATAGTCAGTTTGGTGCTTGTATTTGTCATCTTAAGCTTTATCTATGACGTGAGCAGCAGTCTCAGCAGAAACTCCCAGACTTCCCTCTCTTCAGATACCTCTTCCAGCTCTTCTGGAGGAAGCCTGAGGTGCTACCAGGCCAGCAGAGCGACATTGTGCCTCCAGCGTGTCCTTGGTCGTCCCCTGGGCCTCGTCATGATGGGATGTGCCTAGGACATCTCTAGACAAAGGCATCCAGGGCGCATCGAAAAAACACAGGTTGGAGCCACTTCAGCTGACTCGTCTCGATGTGAAGGAGAAGCGGCTCTACTCTGAGCCTGTCCCAGATGACTGAGCTACATTCTCCGATGTAGTGTGGAGCCACGTATGGTGTCACCTGGCCTGGGCAACATTCCTGGCTCTAGCCCCGAATTATAGCCTTAAATCCTTTTTACCCCCAAGAAAGAAGAAATGTCAAATAAATGGCCTGCTTTATAACATTAAAAAGACATTACATAATTTTCTTATGATACTGTAACCAGTGGTCAAAACACAGCAACTGCAGCACTCTTCTGCTCGTTCTCATAGCTCTCGCTCATACAAGCATTCACCTTACCTGGAGTTGTTATTAGTGTCTGAGTTGGGCTGGACACTGGTTGCTTCTGATTATCCACAAAATCCATCTTGAATACATCGCTTTGATTGGTTGTAAGGTTGGACCTGTTTGAGGTGTCAGTCTGCTCATCAAATTATGTTTTAGTTTTAGTTGTATAGTGTGAAATTAAAAAGGCTATTTTAAAGACATTTAGATACACAAACAACCCAAGGCTTCAATAACTGAAGAGCATTAGACTTTTTAAGATGGCATAATGAAAGCCTTAATTTAATACTTTTTTTAGAGATCTTTTTTTATATTGTCAAGATTATTTTTCATAGATACATTGTGGAGTACATGGTGCAGTAGATGGCCTAAAACAAGGTGCCTATGAGGATTTGCTCAGCCCCCAGTGTTTCCAGGCCCCCAAAAAACGCACCTGCATTGTCCTGTTTTCCTATACATAAAATCTGGAACTCACACTAACCACACTAACCATTTGGCCTATTCTCTAAAAAACCCCTTGGGACATGTCTTACCATGAGTACCCTTCTCAGTCACTGGGGTGACTGAGAGGGGTACTTTTGGGCATGACATTTTGGCAAGACTGTCCAGAAGTTGAACACATTTATTTATATAAAGGGTTGTTTTACATTAGTATAAATTGGCCCCAGATAGATGGTTGATAAGGAGTAATTCTTCAATAAATTCTATCCATAAAGAAATTGTTATAATGTAGATATTGCACATGAATGTATGTGGCATGTTGTTTTCCTGTGGCTCACCTCTGTGTTTAGGTGAATTGAGTTGGACTGAGATAAATGTAGTTTTGTATGGACTATGGTTATATATATACTTAAAACAGTTGCTTTTTTGTGTTTTTTTTCTTTGCTTAAAGGAAGACAACATGTATTTAGTTGTGTATAATTGCTCTAAGTAAGTGGGAAAAACAGCTGCTATAGATAAGTCATATAGGTCTATCAAGTAACCCAAGACCACGCTGCTGTATAGAAAACATTTCCTGTAGAATGCTCTTTTTATGCCAATAACGTTGTAAACTATCAGTACCATCCACTTTGATTATTTCTTCTAGCAGTGAATAAACTTTCCTTTACCATTCTGTGTCCAATATCTTGTGTTTACCTGCCAAGTCCAAAAGGACTTGTTTATGATGTGTTAACTAGTGTGAACTTTGAATAAATTTATCTTTTCATCTAAGCTCAGATATCCTTTTATAGTAACTGGGAATAATAGATCGTTTTGATAAGTACCTTATTTGGGTTTAGGTTCCCCAGGGTGTTTTCATAAACACCTGTTGGGGGGGGGCGGTATTATTGGTGTGCAGGATGTCCAACCAACGTTCATTGTGTTTTCGAATGCTGTATAAATTTACATAATAAATACATTGAAACAATAAATGTAAACATTTCTGTCCATGAAAATTTGCATCATACCCTGCAACACACGTTTCAGTGCAGCACGGTGCCAGGCAGGTGGCTGTTGTAAACAAACCGGCGGTTATGGCTTGGGCCTTGGATCCCAAAGGGAAAAAAAGGAAGATACCTCATGAGACCATAGGATTTCCAAGAAGAATGGATGGAATAATTTGCTTTCATTACCAATGCAGAAGGATTGCTTGCATGTTTGCTTTGTAATGACATGTTGTAAAGTAATAAAAAGAGTAATATGCAAAGACATTTCCAAGAAAAAGGCATGCTAAATATGAAGCCGACCAAGTGAAGTGAAGAGAAGAAAAAAGTGGGAATGCAAAACTTCTGGATAAAAAACAGAAGATAGATTTAAGAAGAGGTTTGCATCTCCTAACTCCAGGACTTCTGCTTGTCTTTTTGCAAACATGAAAAACCTTAAAGCTACAGTGTGTAACTTTTAGTGACATCTAGCGGTCAGACTGCAGACTGCAGCAACATGAACATCTCCCCCCCACCGCTTCTCCCCCCCAACAGTACGGCGAGCGTTACAGGACAAAATGTCTTCCACGACGTCCGCATCACCTACCTTCTCAAGTGATGAGGTTTGTTTACATAGATAATTTTACAGATAGTATTTCATTAGTCTGTGTAGGGTATAGATTTCATGTAGACTTAAGATAATAAATATACCCGTTATTTTTTCTACATCGTTGTGACGTTTTGGCGATCTCGCAATCGCTAGTTTGTTGGCTCTGCGCTGCCGTAGCACAAAGATGTCTGCCTCCATGGCTGCAAGACCCGCTCCTGTGTAATTATAAATAACGAATTCTAAGGCGACGCAAATATTAAGGTTAAGAGGCTGAGCTCGTAGATGATGATAAATAACATAGTTATGTATAATATATTACATTTCTGACTGTATATCCCTGTAATTATTACACACTGTAGCTTTAAAGACAACAAACCTAACCTTTTAACATGTACTTATACACACTTACATTCACGCATGCATTCACCATTTAAACCTGTTTTTGTCTAGTTCCAAAGCCCTTTAGATTAAGGCAGAGACTTTAAAAAGAAATAAAAAAAAAAGGGGGGGGGGGGGCAATATATGAATAAAAACTGTAGTCCAGACATCCATTCAAAACTCCCATCAATAAGCTCCACTTTCAGTCCCTGCAATCCTCATATATGCTCCCATGGATTCAGAATGACACCTAATTACATCCTTCCAAAGCTTCTGGACTTTAGGACATTCTCACTATCAATGGAGAAGAGTTCCTTTTTCAGATAAACATTTAGTGCAAGTATCTGGAATATCACTATGATATGATGAAGCCTAACTGGTGTTATTTAGGTTCTCATAAGCTATTTATATTGCAGAAGGGTAAATCGTTCATTTATAGTTTGTTATTGTGCTTTTAAACATGCCTGATTCCAGTCTTCTTCATCTATGTCTTCGAATGTGTCTCCTCTCCAAGTGTCTAACTTATCTATTGTTGAATCTTTAGAGGAAAGCATCAACAAGTTGGAGAATACTGAAAGAAAACCTTTCCCTTAAAATTCCCAACGCACACTTGTTAACTATTCGTTTCAGTTTTGATGTCATATAGTTTTTCAATTGTAAGTATTTAAAATAATGTTTTTGGGGTATTACTTTTTTTTTTTATATAACTGATCGAAAACAAGCAACCTGCCATCAGCATATAGGTCTTTCAACAGGATAAACATGTAATCATAAATTATTATTATATATTTAAGCCCATGTTGTCCTTTTTTGTTTATAGTGGGCTAATACACTTAGAGCCTGTGTTGCCATACGAGGCCTATATAAGACTTTTACATTTTTAAGGCTCCAGACAGAAGTTTTTTTTTTTTTTTTTTGTCCAGTATTGCTCTTTGCACAGTTTGGGTTACCGACCCCTGGTTTAGACCACTTATTTAGGTGTAAATACACAGACACACACTCTTTGAACTTAGAAAGCCACAGAAACAGTAAGTGAAGTACTGAAATCATAACTGAGGGGTCATCTTATGCTTAGCAACACTGCTGGTATCAAACAAGGAGGGAGATAAGTAGAGCACATTGTTTGTTTTGGTTTGCGACACATTTTCCCACACTATTTCTAAATTAAATATAAAGTCCAGCAAAACTCTATTGAATGAGCTGCTTGTGACACTCAAAATTATTTTGCAGAAGCACTAACATATGCAGAGCAGGGATCCATCACTCTGTACATCCATGGTAGTCTTCCTCCATTTCGTGATCTGTGGTCCCTATCATTTCTGTCCAGTTGGGGCAAAGATCCTAAACATACATGGCTTTGCTAAAAGTAATGGTTTACTTGCAAAAAGTAGAATATGATGGTATCTCTTTTCACTCCAAACATTAAAAACCAGGACAGGACAATCAACCGTGCATGCACCCACTATCCTCTGAGGACTTTTTAGTTTGGGCGGTTAATCCAATATGAGTCTTCTGCTAACCAACTTCAGTACCCAGAAAGAACGCATCCTGCATAGAAGGAAAGACCCAGCATGGAGAAAAGACCACAGGCTGCATGGGAATACAAACCAAGGACATTGTTACATTTTCTCATCTACCCAATGAGAATAAGGATTAAAACTGTACAACCTAACAACCTTAAAACTAACTAGAATTTTTTTTTTTATCTGAAGGGAGATAATACAATTGGAGATTGTTACAAATTGGCCAGGTCTTCAAACTTGAGCAAAGTTCAGTTTTCACAGGACGGTGGCAACTGTTCACAAGGAAACGCTGTGAGCAGTAAAGAGAGCTTTTCTTTCCCTCAGGCAAACAGAAAACCGCCGCCCTCACACAAGCCTGACAACTTCCTTTTATTAACCGCATATTTTCCAGATTGGTGCCTTGTACATTTGACTTGCAAAACAGACCTAATTATGGGGGCCAGCAGTATGCAAGCCACACATCAAACAGTAAGTTACAGTAAAAAGCCTGTATGATCCCAATCACATCCCCTCTCTTTTCCTCCCTGTCCTCCATTGCCTTAACGCACCAGAAACACTGATTAGAACAGGAACATTATATGGGAGTTACAGCGAAACAATTTACACTTAATGTAGCAGTCGTATGAACAGGGAAGAAAGATGGACAAAGATATAACTGTATCAATAATGCATGTTTTAATTAAGCAGCTGGGAATGCACAGAGCAGGATCAAGGCACAGGGAAAGACAGACAATGAAAGAATAGTTGCAGAAGCAGTTGAGAGAAGGACGACAGAGGAAAAGAATATAAGAATAAAAGCAAGTGACAGAAAAAATATAAAGCAGGGCAGAGGGAGAGAAGAACAGGAGGAGGAAGCTTGATCAGAATATGTTTCTGTGGGCTCGCTGTGATTCATGGGCAGTAAATATGCAAAGCCTGATGGCCATAAGGCAATCAGAGGAGCACCACTCATCTACATGTTGCATAGTGGGCTATAATCCATCTGAGGGGCAAGGAATAATGATACCAGGAAGCAGGAATAAGAGTGGGGTCTGTTTATTACCTCAGACAGATCCATAATGCATACAGATGTGCAGAAGGCACAGCAGCCTCAAGCCAGAGGACTCTATTGAGAAGAGCAGACAGTAATATTGTTTTAAATGTAATGAAAGGCAATCTGATTTAAGTACCTATTAAAGCAAATAAGTCTGCTGTCATATAAAGTTTTAAAATAGGCACTGGAGCTATGACCATGAGAGATTGGACAAGAGGTACAATGAAAAAGAGGGAAGAGCTAATTTTGCAAGGACACCAAGAAATAGCAGTGGTGATGCATGTGAAATTAGACTCGTGAAAAGTAAAATGTGAAGTTTTAGATTGGTTTACAAAATACCATCTTTTGATAACACAGTACCTGTATCGATAAAAACTACCGGGTGAAATAAATTTCTCACTTCTAGGTGCCATTGTTTTTACTCCTTTTTTTTATTTGCAAAGAGACCCCCACATGCTCCCCCCACACAGGCAACATCAACACCGGGATTCTTCTAGTGCCTGAGTAAGTAATAAATTGTGTTGAACATTGATAAACTAATGCAATTACCTGCAGGGCAAGAGAGTCAGCTAATTTAAAGATACCAGGTTTGTTCTTGCGGCTGGAGGCTCTTGAATAGGACCCAAGGGTGAGAGATGGCGCCTTTATTACATTTGAGAGGTCAGCGTGGTAGCACTGTATTAGGATTGATCTTTTGATCCCTGCTAGAAACACCAAACACACACATTCGCACGCACATAAATACGAACACACATTGTAGCACCCCATCTGGTTGGTTTGAAAAAAAAAAAAAAAAGCTTATCTAGCGTAAAGGGTTAACTCTGCCAGGCAGGCAGGCCTAATTGAGCACCACACATCTCAGCTACACAGCAGAAACAGCAACCTGGAGGGTTGTAACAAGCCAGGAGTGACTTATTCACATAATAAACCAAGCAGATATCTAAATGAGCCATTGAGCTAGCCAAAGGGAGGGAGGCCATTAGGCGGCCCAGACCATGGGTACATATTTGTATATCTGCAATTGCCCTATCATTTGCATAAGGGGCTGCCTACAGAAATGTTTGATGGTCCTCATACTCAGGGGTCCTGACACAACGGAACAACTCAATACTCATTCTGAGCAACATAAACAACTTTGTCATGTTTTGTTTTTCTATTTTTTTTTAAACAAAAGAAATACAGAGAGAGATTTGTGGTAAGAATGGTAATTTTGATGGATTTTGTATTAATCAGCTCTGATTGCCCTTCCTTTCTCTGGCATCAAAACCTGTACAGATCTAGGCTGTTTGAAATAAAACAATAAAACTTTTTAAAGTTGAATGCTCATTTCAGTTCATATCTTTGCAATAATTGATCAATTAAAGATATAGAGCTGCTTCTAGAGGTGCAAAGAAAAGATAAGACACAGGGGTGTGTGGAAAGCACTTGCCTCTTTTATAATATCTTCAGTTTTTGCTTTTC